GACAATTCATAACTTATCRTATTATTGGTTCAGCAAAAATACTACAAAATCACTTACGAATATTTTTGATATTCAGTAAYCCTTGGAGTGATCACTAGGGCCGCTTTTTGTCAGGGCCGCTTGTATTGGACACACACAATGAGAATGATTCCGTTACTAATCAAAACTAGAACTRTTCAGTCAACTGAAGTGCGCAATTTCTAAAAGTTTTATCCATTAGCCTAATAGAAAAATCAACAAAGCTCTCTAGAAAATGTATTTTCTTTTCTTTTAAATAGACCGGTTTTGTCTAAAAATGCCTAAGTTAATGGTAATACAAATTAACTGACGTGGGAGCAGAGGGCTTCTTCAACCGCCGTATTATATACTTTATTAAATTTGTGAACAATTATGTTACTTTCCTCGCGGAAATGAAATATTTGTATTCCATGTGGCCGGTGCAAACAATGTTTGGACTCCCATTATTTTGGAATTAAACAAAAGACCTGGATACTGACTTTGAAAATCGCACAGCCAAGCCCAAATCAAACTTTCGTTCCAAACGAGAGCTTCTAGAAGCTACTCATAACTCAAAATACTGATCTAAGGTTCAGTTTCTGTGGAGAACTGCTTTGCAAATCAACAGCGAAGGCTTGCGGTTTTCACTTTTCTAATTTTCGACGATTTCTTAAAAGAGTATAATGTTGTTCGTTGTATAATATCAGCGTTTAAGAAAAAGTTATTTCAATTTTTTTTCGCAACCTTTGAATATACAAGATTTATTTATGTATATAGATCACAAATTAACTTGCTGTCAACGATAACAAATTATTACTATAAAAATACAAGGACTCCCCATGGCCAAGAGCTCATTCATTTTGTCTAGAAAGCGCGTMAAGAATAAAGCGGGCCTTATGGAAGTCCCCCTTCCTAATAACTTTGCTTGAACCAAACAACTTTTCTAGCTCACATTCCATTTTTTAATTTCTGACTCTTTCTACCAATTAAAAGGCTATTTAATTGAACTGATAGATATACAAACGAGTGGCRAAAGACGAGTAATTCAAAAAGGATTGGGAAAAAATCAGACGTTTGACTAAAGAGAGTACGCAACTCCCCAACTAGGGAATCAAATCTTCTAGCTTTTAATGTGTGTTGACGTTTCCAACGCCAAATGACGCTCGTTGTTCAAATTAATTTTTGGACACAAACTGTATTGTATATTTGAGAATAATGTAAGTTAAGTTTGTATCTTTTTTGTAAGTTTATTAGGTTGGGTATTAAAGTGTACTGTGTACACACTTTCCAATTTTCTGAGAAACAACATTGCCGTCTAAAACGAATTATGATATAACTTTACGACTGCTTCCAAATAGTTGACAAATTGTATCAAGGCGGCTTAAACACACGCTATACACAACGCAAATTTTTATTTTTATTCGTATTATTTTTATCATCTGTGCACTGTTTTGACCGGAAAACGTCTTTCAATCCGTTTTTAAATATGAAAGCACGGCTCTTCCTAGTGAACTATAAACGTTTATGCCGCGACTGTTTTTCTGTTTCCACTGACACAAGAAACAAAAGGCTCTTTTGTAAACATTCAATTAGATTTTGAAAACCTTTGAATGGAAATCTTTGGTACACCGCTTTTGAAGAGACAACGTGACCTCTTCGCCGGTAAAGTCAAGTTTGTTGATAAAATAAACAAGGAAATCTTGAAGTAAGTTTTCTTGAAGTTCTTAAAGCTGCACTTGATCAAATTTTTATAGCAACGTGATGTATTATGTTTACTTCCTATCGAAAGAGTGGGGRAAAAGCAGTACAGATATTGCGGTTTACACCTTTGAGGAGAATTTCTAGAAAATTGGATTCTATTTTAAATCGTCTTATAAATAGATCGTGACGCAAAACCTCTTTGTGATGACTAAAACACTATTTTTTGTTATAAAGCTACAGTAACTAGTGAAGTAGACGCTTCTCGATTACTTATTGTGTTTGCAACACAAAGGGGAGACAAAGAATTAGGACCCTTTTGATGCACCCAGTGAATGAATCGCGGCTTTTGGATGTCCAGATATTTCCGCCAAAGCTAAGACCCCTTCTGTGATGTACTCTCTCATCTTGCCCTGTAACTATGCAGTATAGCACACGCAAGACACGCAACAATAGAGCGGATTTCGTAGGAGTGGGAAACGGACGGTACTGTACGGTGACCGTAATCGTACTGTAACCAAATTCTAGTGCCCCATTGGTTCACCAAAATTGTGCAGGCCAGGTCCGGTAACTGTGCGGTAACCGTGTGGTAACGGTGTTCCACTCATACGAAATCCGCTCTAGAGGCTACGCAGCTTCACAAGACCGCGCCTTGACCGCCATACACCTCGATCGCCCATAGACAACGCGCGCAGTTTGCTTTTTTCCTTGGTAATAAAAGCCGAAACTACTGATCAAAGTGCTAACATTTATTGGAGATCTTCCTTGTAGACAGGACAATGATGAGGATTGGCAGCACAAAAGGGAGGCAAAGGATTAAGACCCTTTTGAAGCACACAGTGAATGAATTGCAGCTTTTCTGTGGACATCTAGGTATTTCCGCTAAAACTAAGACCCCTTTTGTGATGTACTATCTCATATGTGTTTGTGCATAAAGCGCATAACCTTCGATTTTCTTTTGTATGTGAAATAAGCTTGTAAATTTTGATTGGAACTTTCTGGTTTCAGTTTACAAAGCCCTTTTTTTAATTCAGAGGTCTCTGTTTTTTGTAATTATTGCAGCCATTTTGAAATAGGTCGTATGCTAGTGCTTCTTATCCGGTGCATGAAGCTGTCAGCGATAACAAATGCCGATAAATTCCTGTAGTAGGGCTTTTTTTAAAATGGACGCCATAGGCTTTTTCAACCCAAGACAAAGCTACAATGTTCTGCAATATAAACGGGTCACTTGAGATCCCTTCCCCTAGTTCAATGTTGTTAGAATGACGTCTTCGGGTTTTGCTAGGAAATCGCGTCTTTTTGTCGTCCGCAATCAACATTGCCGAGGGGGAAGGAGTATAGGACCTAACAATTGTGGGTGTCTCATTTTTTTGCCGGAGATTGTAGCTTACCAAACTCCATTTGGTCGCGTAAGGGCTTGTACAACATACACTCAATGCCATTAACGTTTTTCAGTTATAAAGACAGAACTAACAACAACAAAGTCATTTGCATAAAATGTTTTTAAATTCTCGAGAATTATTGTGAAAACTCCAGGAAAAAGTAGACTGTCAGTGATTCRCATTGTAATGACGTTTTGAAACGTTCAATTAAATCTTGAAAAAAAGATCAAAAGCATTAGATGTATGTAAATAAACTAGTTCTTTTCTAAGTAATAACTGTACATCACTGGAAAAAAATCGCGCGCTTTAAAGGTTGTAAATTTTATGTAAATATGATGTAAATGTCCAAAATTCTGTAAATTTGATGTAAATGATTTCCACGAAATTTACAGAATTTTGGACAMTTACATTATATTTACATCAAATTTACAACCTTAAAGCGCGTGATTTTTTCCCAGTGAGAGTTGGATTGTTCGTACAACTTTAAGCAAGGTCGTCCTTGTAGTTAAATATGTTCTGATAGACTCTTRGTCCTTTGCGTCTAATACACAATYAGCTCCAACTGACGCTCCCTGAATATGGATTAAACTCACCCACAATTCCCCGAGGTCGGGTAACACAGGAAACCCGCACTACACTGACTTTGTTGTTATCGTTCTCTCTTACAGCCGAATAACATTAATTGGATTGACTGAATTTAATATTCTATTCAGGCAGAAATGCTAATATCGTTGCTATAATTTTCTAGTATCTTTCGTTCAGATTGTTGAAGAGTGCTTCCGATTTAGGCTTTTGTGGTTTGCCATCGTGGATCGATACAACAGATGGTTTCAATACAACGATTCTGTCATCTACAGTGAACAAAAAAAAGTTGCGAAATCTTGAAAAGATATTTCAAATTGAGAATTATAGAAGATAGCTTTCTTTGTGTTAATTCTTGTGATGAATAATAACATTGGACAAAGTGTATGAAAATGTACAAACATTAYTGGACGTTCGAATTCAGTGATTTTGTTTTATTATGCCTTATACAGCCTTTTGCAAAAATTATGAGAATTGTCTAAATATCTAAATATCATAATATCCATATCCATATATTGTCTGGAACACGCGAGTTTGCTAGAATAATTCATTGTTGACATCGAGAAAATGTTCAGAACTACGGATAAGTCTGTCGCCCAAAAAAAACTAAACTACAAAGACAAGGGACTAAGGGCATCGCGCGAGATTGCCCATCATACACTCGATATTATGATATTTAGATATTTCAACAATTCTCATAATTTTTGCAAAAGGCTGTAACTCATTTCTATTTGCAAATTTATCTATTTAGGATATTACATGGTCGCGCTGAAATACGAATTTTGTTTTCGAATGTTAACACACGAGCCAAGTAAAGTGAACGAGTGAGCAATTTTCTCAACGAAAAGATAAAATCCCTATCTCCAACCGACCATGTAATATTCTGTTTAAGCCCCCCCAAATTGCTTTAAAAGTATAGGTTTTTACCTCGATTATAAATCGGTATCACTTGCAAATTTGGACGTGAAAATAGCAAGTTTTTGAGAATGAGAGATGTTTTAATATTTTTGTTTAAAATTTTTATAAATTGTAACAACGTTCTTTCAATCAGACAGATGTATACCGAATAGTTTTTGTAAGGAAATTGTGGGGAAAATAGTTGACAGTATATCTGACAATATAATGTCTCTAGATGTACACCTCACTTTAATTATGAACATTTCCTTTTTAGACAATGATTAATACTTAATTAAAAAATGAATGAACTTCTCAACGCACCGCAGTCACCTACRCATGCATACACTTCTAATGATATATCCGATTAACTGAAAACCAACCACTCAAAAMSCGAATCCGACTGYGTGCAAACAAAGGTCGGTAATTTGAATTCCGTCTACTAACGGCTGTTGTTATCAGTTGAGTCCGTGCAGTCGCGTGTTTAGAGCTCTCTCCTGCGTAGAATTATCACATCGAAATCTTATTAAGAAAACTTAACTATTAATAGAAGGTAAGCAACAATTATTTCATGCTATGACAATTTCATTCCTTTCAATTGTTATTTTTTATGTTGATTGAGCAAGAGAAATAACTCTCGATAAATGTTTGCTACCACATGTAGTTGTGTTCGAAGTTTTATAACGGTATAAACTAGTTATATTGTAAGTTTTGCTAATGTGATTTCATGATATGAGTACTWCAGTCTACAAAGTAAAGATCGTAGATTTTAACATGTTTATAGTAATATTATATCTAACGCGCGTGTAAATCAAACCACCGAAGCATAAATACTAAGGTATACCGGTAACTGACTACGAATCAAAATTTAGTGTAATTTTTATAGTTTTAACTCGTATAAGAACAAAAATTTCAAATGTGGACTCTTTTTTAATTGTTAATGTGGGATTAGTCATGTTTCAATTTTAGTTAAAAGTGTGTAGTGGTGTGTAGTGGGGTTGTTTTATTATGTTTTACGGCGCATGTATGTTTTTCTTATTGACTTATAAATAAAACACAATTAGCTTTTTTGATGGTGAAAGGGAGGCAATTTTAATGGCCTAATATCATCTTTTATCTGTAGTCCGACCTTGTAATTGGTTCTATAGACTCCTATTGATTCCCTTACAAAGATCTTTCAATATAATGTCACAATGTCAMCGAAAGCCTTTTGGTTCTGAAAGACTTTGGTTGTAGAACTGTGATGTTGTAGACAAACTTTCATCGACATGAAAACCGCAATAATCACAAAAAATTCACCTCAATTCAACCTAAAATAAAGGCTTTCACAACATTTTTCTAAAGCTAATGGAACTGCACAATATTTTCTTTTTTATCTTAAGAATCAGACGTTATCTTCCGCACTAGTTTGCGTGTCTTCATTACCATAAAAACGGTGTAATTCTACTTAAAAGAAGTAATTAAAAATATTGTTTTAGGTTAATTACTTAATGGCATACCGCTCTCCTATAAAGAAACCATTATCTGTTACAGCAGATAACAAAACGATCGATGATGTAATTGAAAGACAAGTAACTTTTATAATAATCTTTATATTAAATATGTATTGAAATTTATGAACAGACGCATAATTATTCAACCCTAACGTTCACGTGCGCTCTCCGTTAGAAGTTACGCGCCGCTTACGCTTTGTGAACGCAAATTCAACGTTTTCAAGTTACTTCACAGCGGCCATCTTGGAGGAACTTCAACAAAGAATTTCTCATTAGTATCTATTGTTCATTCCTCCAACATGGGCGCCGGTCTTTTATCTTTTGAATCTCATGGGAATGGTTGAAAACAATCAATACTAAGCTATATTTTGGTCATTTTTGTACGACACATTAGTTTACTCTCCAACCAACCGAACCAAATGCAATTCAGTATTTTTTTGTTTTATTGTTTTATATGGTTCTGGACCATACGGCATTTCTCGTAACTAGTGCACACTGATTTAACCCTTGGGCTGAGAATAAGGCTCAATCCCGTTCGAGAGAGCTTGATATTCAGGCTATTCCCTTTAGGAGAGGACGGTGGGGGAACGTCTTGACCTTTTAGCATGCGCATGTACCTTTTCCATTGAAAGTGGATAATCTCCCTTATGCCTTCTATACAGTTGACTCTCTTTGAACGACCACTCTCGAAAGCGACCATCTGCCGTAAGCGACCACCTTTTAAATTTCCCGTTATCATTGTTTCCCATATAAACTCTATAAAAAAAACCTCTCTCGTAAGCGACCATCTCTCGTAAACGACCACTTTTTCCTGATCCCGAGGTGGTCGCTTACGAGAGAATTAAATGTATTTAGATTTATTCGTAATAAATGCTATCATTTCTTTAGAATGAAGACRACGTCAGCAGTGGTTCTTTTTGCGTTTCTCATGCTGTCGCTAGTGGCAGAAGTACCAGCCAAGCCAAACAAGGTTCGAGTATGTGTGGGACAAGCAGGGTTTAGCGATTTTCTCTGGCAGAACTGCGAGGGACAACTAACTCAAGTCTTAAGTGAGTTTCAACTAACTACAGACATTCTTAGAGCAAACGCAGGAAAATCATGAAATAAAATCAAACTAAATACTAACAAACTGCGACTATTTGGACTAGACAATTCGTCCAGAAAATATATAATGGTACCATTTTTAATTCATCTTTAATTTATTGCGYTCTGCTGGTTCATTGATACTGACAAATTGTCTCTACATAGCCAACATTTGTTAGCATTTAGTTTGATTTTATTTCATGGTATACGGTTTTCCTGCGTTTGCTCTAAAAGAGTACTGCAACTATTTGCCCGCATTTTATAAACTTTGTCATAGATCAATCATTTAGTCTGTTTTCCTTTTGCATTTCGGCTATGGTTCATGTTCCACTAGCACCAGCATTGAATAGAGTCGTGTTTTAGATCTTTCATATTCTTGGGTCGCAACCACATGATCAAAAATTCAAAAATCACTCGAAAAATAAAGAACAAAGCTATCGCCGCGCGCCACGTTGCATCAAAATATGGCGGCGATGACGTAACGTGAAACCCGAGAATATGGAAAATGAGGTGACTTCAAATATCTATTCGTAATCCATTTCCATCCGTCAGTTTAAAAGTCGAATCTTACAGTATCTCAATTCATAAAGGGATAATAARGAGTAAAATTTTGCTTTTATTACGACACACTATGTATGATTGATTACTATAGACTTATGAACATTTTACGTCACTACTTGATTTTCAATGCATTGTGGGATCAGTTTCAAGAGAAAACAAAAARATATCCGCCATGTTCTGTCCCAAACATATTCTACAACAGACTTAATTAGCTAACGCGTTCATGCCATGTACGTTATCCAATCCAAATCATGTSGGAAAAAGAACTTTTGTTTCTAAGAATTCAATCAAATGTGAAGTGRAAATACGACGAACAATGAAACTTATTTGCGGGTGGTTTAAATTGCGTGGAAATGTTTATAGCAACGCGTTAGCCGATTAGGTCTATGCATTACGTATACGGTACATGACGTAAAAGCTTCAGAGGTCTATTCTCTATTCGCGCGCATGCGCAAAACTGATTTTATTGTTTTTATTAGGACGACGAAAACGACACAGCTGTCGGCAACCAAATTTCCAAGACTATAAACGATTTGTCTATCAGTGTTGTGATACCGCCTGCACGCTTGGAGAATTCTATGGATACTGCTGTCTTAACTGAACGTGGGCTCAGTCGCATTACAAATCACCTTAAAATATTATTGCAATTAAGMATTCACTTTTAAACAAGATTTGTGTACAATAATGAACAAAAGAGATAAAATACAATTGATTTAAATAAAAAATATCTTAGATATATATTTTGCTTTTGATTAAAATATAATTATAAAAAAAAAAAACTGCAAGAGCAATCTGTTGTAAGTTGAGTAAATTTTTTTGACTTCTGTAGAGTGAAGTAAAAAAAAACTATGAAATAGATCATGACTACTTTAATACATCTTAGTACGCTCTAATACATTGTTTTGTTTCATGTCTATGTTTTACAATGACATTTTAATGGTCAAATTATGTTTCACGGGCTTAAAAAAGTCACTCTAAAACTGAACAACATTAATTACCACTAGATACTGCTAAATTATGCTTCTATTGTTTTTATTGCTATCATGATATCTCTAATTAGCCAGTAAATAGTGAAAGYGTCGCAAACTTTCAGCGCTGTTTTCTAGTTGCTTACTAAATCGCTCAWTGATACAGACTCCGGACTCTAGAATCCGACAAAGTTTGGCTCTGATCGTCCGGAATCCAGACACATGGAATCCGGAATCCGGAATCTGCGGCAATGGAAGTCATCCGAAAAAAAAAAACACACAGGAGAAATCCGAAATCCAAAATACTTACTTTAAATGCTTCCTAAAAAAGCTAAGATGCTTTGCATTGTGGATCCAATAGCTAGGGTAGAATCCAGGATTCTTGAGAAAGTTTTCATGGAATCGGGAATCCACTTGGAATCTGGAATGCACGAACGGTGCGGATTCCGTGTCATGGGACGAACTAAACATTTAATAAATGCAGAAATCATTTTCAACAAATGGGGTCTGATATTCAAATCAAAACACTGGATTTAGACAAGAGATTATTAACAGTATTCATCAAATAAAGTTAATGTTTACTCTATGCAGGAAGAGCAAATATAGGGTTAAGGACTAGGTTATTGGTGTGATAGCGGCAACAAGCATCTCTTCACGCCCCTACCGACCTATCAATCTATGCTCATTTAACATACTTATAGTTAATTATTAAAATGTGTGGAGAGAAAGAGAGAGGGCCAGCGAGTGTAGATCATAAGTTTTTAGAGCTATCTTCAATTCTTGTATGGATTCAAGGATAT